ATCCAGCACCCAATGGGTTCCAAATCCCAAATAAATCCATTTTACCCTGTATAAAGCTTATACAGGGTAAACTCTAAATTGTTCGGCCTCTATAACACTGATAGAGAGTTATGCACAGCAATTTGCGCCCTCCCCACCCCCCAGGTATTAATACTTACTCTGGGTTAATTAATAAGTAAAAAAATGATTTTATTAAATACAAAAAGTAGGATTTAAGTGGTTCCAAGTAATAACAGACAGAACAAAGTGAATTGCCAAGCAAAATAAAATAAAACATGTAAGTCTAAGCCTAATACAGTAAAAAAAACTAAATACAGGTAAATCTCACCCTCAGAGATGTTCCAATAAGCCTCTTTTACAGACTAACCTCTGGGTCCAGCAGTCACTCGCACCCCTGCAGTTACTATCCTTTGTTCCAGTTTCTTTCGGGTATCCTTAGGGGTGGAGAGGCTATCTCTTGAGCCAGCTGAAGACCAAATGGAGGGGTTTTCCCAGGGGCATATATAGTCTCCCTCTTGTGGGTAGAAACCCCTCTCCTCTCCAATGCAGAATCCAGCTCCAAGATGGAGTTTTGGAGTCACATAGGCAAGTCACATGTCCATGCATGACTCAGCACTTTACAGGCCGATGCCACGTTCCGAGGAAAGCTCAGATGTGGACTGGTGTCCTTCAAAGTTCATTGTCAGCTTAAGTGTTTCTTGATTGGGCACTTACTGAGAATAGTTTTTTCTCACGAAGCTGACCAAATGCTTCACTGAGGCTACTTAAAATCAAACAAGTACACAGCCAATATTCATAACTTTGAATACAAAAGTGATACATGCATACAAATAGGATGAATATATTCAGTAGATCATAACTTTTGCAGAGATATCATATGTTACATGTCATATCTAGCATAAAACATATTCCAGTTATGTCATATTTACACTCATAAGCATATTTCTATAAAGCATTATGGGTTGCAATGTCTCATATAGTTTCCCTTTAGTTTAGTTCAAGCTATTTGTTAAGTTAGAGACCAAGCCCTAGTCTACACTACGAGTTTAGGTCAAATTTAGCAGCGTTAGATCGATTTAATCCTGCACCCATCCACATGACGAAGTCATTTTTGTCAACATAAAGGGCTCTTAAAATCTATTTCTGTACTCCTCCCCGATGAGGGGATTAGTGCTGAAATCGACATCGCCGGGTCGAATTTGGGGTAGTGTGGACACAATTCGATAGTATTGACCTCCGGGAGCTATCCCAGAGTGCTCCATTGTGACCACTCTGGACAGCACTCTCAACTCAGATGCACTGGCCAGGTAGACAGGAAAAGCCCCGTTAATTTTTGAATTTCATTTCCTGTTTGGCCAGCGTGGCAAGCTGATCAGCACAGGTGACCATGCAGAGCTCATTGGCAGAGGACCATGGAGTCCCAGAATCCCAAAAGAGCTCCAGCGTGGACCAAACGGGAGGTACTGGATCTGATCGCTGTTTGGGGAGACAAATCCATGCTATCAGAACTCCGTTCCAAAAGATGAAATGCCAAAATATTTGAAAAAATCTCCAAGAGTATGAAGGACAGAGGCTATAACAGGGACCCACAGCAGTGCCACGTGAAACTTAAGGTGCTCAGGCAAGCCTACCAAAAAACCAAAGAGGCAAACGGCTGCTCCGGGTCAGACCCCCCCAGACATGCCGCTTCTATGATGAGTTACCTGCAATTCTAGGGGGTGCCCCCACCACTACCCCACCCCTGTTCATGGACTCCTGCAAGGGGGGAGTCTCACGCAATAGGGATGAGGATTTGGGGGACGAGGAAGATGATGAGAAGGAGGAGGGTAGCGCACAGCAGGCAAGCGGAGAAACTGTTCTCCCCGACAGCCAGGAATTGTTTATCACCCTGGAGCCAATAGCCTCCCAACCCTCTCAAGGCGGGCTCCCGGACCTTGAAGGCAGAGAGACACCTCTGGTGAGTGTACCTTTGTAAGTATAATACATGATTTAAAAGCAAGCATATTTAATGATTAATTTGCCCTGAAGACTTGGGATGCATTCGCGGCCAGTACAGCTACTGGAATGCATTCAAGCAACATCCGTTCTTTATCTCTGTGTTATCCTCAGGAGAGTGATATCATTCATGGTCACCTGGTTGAAATAGGGGAATTTTATTAAGGGGACAATCAGATGTGGCGTTCCTGCTGGGCTGTTTGCCTGTGGCTGAACAGAAATAATCCCCACTGTTAGCCACGTGGTGGGGGGAGGGGTGAAGCAATCATCACAGAGAATTGGGTGTGTGTGGGGGGGTTTAGTTGGGTTTGTGCTGCACGTTAACCCGAAAACCGCAGCCCCTCCAAAAACCGGCAGGCCCTCAATATAAGAGGCAAAATGCAACCTTGTATCAAAAGCACATGTGCTATGTAATGTTAACAGCTTGGTTCACCATGAAAGAGTCTACCCAATGTTCTCTAAAATGTGTCTTTTTAAAGAATACTCTTCCTTTTCTTCCTCCCGCAGCTGCAAATGTTTCAACGCTCACCCTATCATCTCCGTCCCAGAGGCTAGCGCAGATAAGAAGCCGAAAAAAACGCACTCGCGATGAAATGTTCTCTGAGCTCATGCAGTCCTCCCGCACTGAAAGAGCTCAGCAGAATGCGTGGAGGCAAACAATGGCAGAGTCCAGGAAAGCAGAAAATCAACACGAGGACAGGAGGGATGAGCAAGAGAAAAGGTGGCGGGAGAAAAAGGAGAGGTGGCGGCAGTGTGATGAGAGGAGGCAGGATGCAATGCTGAGGCTACTGGAGGATCAAACTGATATGCTCCGGCATATGGTTGAGCTGCAGGAAAGGCAGCAGAAGCATAGACCGTCGGTGCAGCCCCTGTGTAACCGCCCGCCCTCCTCCCCAAGTTCCATAGCCTCCCCACCCAGACACCCAAGAATGTGGCGGGGGGTAGGGGGGAGGGGCTCCAGGCACCCAACCATTCCACCCTGGAGGACTGTCCAAGCAACAGGAGGCTGGCATTCAATAAGTTTTGAAGTGCAGTGTGGCCTTGTCCTCCCCTCCTCCCCCACCCCTCCTGGGCTACCTTGGCAATTATCCCCCTATTTGTGTGACAAATTAATAAAGAGTGCATGATTTTGAAACAACAATGACTTTATTGCAGTGATCAAAGTGGGGAGGTCGGTTGGCTTACAGGGAAGTAGAGTGAACCAAGGGGGCAGGTTATCATCAAGGAGAAACAAACAGAACTCTCCCACCGTAGCCTGGCCAGTCATGAAACTGGTTTTCAAAGCTTCTCTGATGCACAGCGCACCCTGCTGTGCTCTTCTAACTGCCCTGGTGTCTGGCTGCGCGTAATCAGCAGCCAGGAGATTTGCCTCAACCTCCCACCCCGCCATAAATGTCTCCCCCTTACTCTCTCAGATATTGTGGAGCACACAGCAAGCAGAAATAACAGTGGGAATATTGGTTTCGCTGAGGTCTAACCAAGTCAGTAAACTGCGCCAGCGCACTTTTAAACGTCCAAAGGCACATTCTACCACCATTCTGCACTTGCTCAGCCTATAGTTGAACTGCTCCTGACTACTGTCCAGGGTGCCTGTGTACAGCTTCCCGAGCCATGGCATTAAGGGGTAGGCTGGGTCCCCAAGAATAACTATAGGCATTTCAACGTCCCCAATGTTTATTTTCTCATCTGGGAAGTAAGTCCCTTCCTGCAGCTGTTCAGACAAGAGTTCCTGAAGATGCGAGCTTCATGTACCTTTCCCGGCCATCCCATGTTGATGTCGGTGAAACGTCTCTTGTGATGAACCAGTGCTTGCAGCACCATTGAAAAGTACCCCTTGCGGTTTATGTACTGGTTGTCAAGGTGGTCCAGTGCCAAGATGGGGATATGCGTTCCATTTATCGCTCCACCACAGTTAGGGAACCCCATTTCAGCAAAGCCATCCACTATGACCTGCACATTTCCCAGAGTCACTACTCTTAATAGCAGCAGCTCAGTGATCACGTTGGCTACTTGGATCACAGCAGCCCCCACAGTAGATTTGCCCACTCCAAATTGATTCCCGACTGACTGGTAGCTGTCTGGCGTTGCAAGCTTCCAGAGGGCTATCGCCACTCACTTGTGAACTGTGAGGGCTGCTCTCCTCTTGGTATTCTTGTGCTTCAGGGCAGGGGAAAGCAAGTCACAAAGTTCCATGAAAGTGCCCTTACGCATACGAAAGTTTCGAAGCCCCTGGGAATCATCCCAGACCTGCAACACTATGTGGCCCCACCAATCTGTCCTTGTTTCCCGGGCCCAGAATCGGCGTTCCATGGCATGAGCCTGCCCCATGGTCACCAGGATGTCCAAATTGCCAGGGCCCGTACTTTGAGAAGTCTGTGTCCATGTCCTCATCACTCTCGTCACTGTGCTACCGTCGCCTCCTTGCCTGCTTTTGCAGGTTCTAGTTCTGAACATACTGCAGCATAATGCACGAGGTGTTTAAAATGATCATAATTGCCACGGTGATCTGAACGGGCTCCATGCTCGCCGTGGTATGGCATGAGCAGGAGAGCAGAGTTGCAGCAGAAGCGGGAGCCCATGACAGCCAACATGGAGAAATTCGCTATTGATCAAGACAAGAGCAGGAGAGCAGAGTGGCAGAGGAAGCGGTGGTTGGAAGACCAGTTTTTCCAACCTATTGCACCGTCCACGGCCAGAGCAGAAGAGCTAGTTGCAGTGGAAGCAGTCATTCGATGACGATGGTTAGCAGTCCTACTGCACCAGCTGGTGAAAGCAGTATGGCATCCGCACGGAAAAAAAGGTGTGAAACGATTTTCTGCCGTTGTTTCATGGAGGGAGGGGCGACTGACGACATGTACCCAAAACCACCCGTGACAATGTTTTTGCCCCATCAGGCATTGGGAGCTCAACCCAGAATTCCAATGGGTGGCGGAGACTACGGGAACTGTGGGATAGCTATCCACAGTGCAACACTCCAAAAGTCGACGCTAGCCTTGGTACTGTGGACGCACTCTGCCGATTTAATGCACTTAGTGGGGACACACGCAATTGACTGTATAAAATCGCTTCCTAAAAATAAACTTCTATAAATTCGACCTAATTTCGTAGTGTAGACGTGCCCTTAGTAGGTCCCTAAAGGGACTTCGCCTTGGGATGGTTTTAAACCCTGTGATCGCTGTAAAAGGCCCATGCTTATTAGCGATCCACATAATAGTTGTTTACGGTGCTTGGGCGAAGGTCACATTAGTGATAAGTGCAAAACACTGCCACCCATACCATAGCATCGGCCATCTTGTTGCGCAGGGCTTCGTGGCTGCTCCTCTCTGGTCTTGGAGGCTCAGCAGTCAATGCAAGACCTCCCTTTTGACTGGCACGCCCTGTTCGCAGAACAGACGGACATTAAGCTGCATGGCCTGAAAGATTCCCATATGACCCTAAAAACACTGGGCCTGTATGTCCCCAGCCCTGCCCACAAGCAGCCTCAGAGCCCGGGGAGCCACCCTCACTAGAAGCCTGCCTACGAAAGATTCAGGGGCTACAAGAAGCACCTTGGCCACCAACCCCCGTCTACATTCCAGGTGGGCTCAATCCGCAATAAGCAGATAGATAAGCATCTGTTTTGAGGGTACCCCCGAGGGCAACCTACTGGACTGTTCCTGGATCGTTCCTCCCCTCTGTTTGCCAACCGTCTTTCTTCCTTCCTCCCTGTGTGGACGTCTATAACATCGGACCAATGGGTCCTCAGTACGGTGGCGCAGGGTTACACCCTTCAGTTACTTTCTACCCACCCTTCACACATACCCTCCCCGTCCTCCTTCAGGGACACCTCTCATGAGAATCTTCTCATACAGGAGGTAGAGGGTTTACTACAGCTGGGTGCGGTGGAGGTAGTTCCTGTGGACAGAAACAAGGGGTTCTATTCCCGATACTTTTTAATCACCAAAGCCAAGGAGTGCGGTCTGCGGCCCATACTAGACCTGCGGGGCTTGAACTGCTACTTAGTGAAACCAAACTTCTGCATGATCTCCCTGGCTTCCATCATCCCCACCCTCGATCTGAAAGATGTGTACTTCCACATCGCCATCTTCGAGGGTTGACAGTAGGTCCCGACCACTATCAGTTCGAGGTCCTCCCATTTGGCCTAGCAACAGCACCATAGGTATTCACCAAGTTCATGTCAGTGGTGGCGGCTTACCTCAGATGTTGGGATATCCAGATCTACCCGTATCTCGACGACTGGTTTGTCAAGGACAACTCCAGGTCCAAGGGGACATTGCGGTGCTGCTAGCCAAGTGCCGCCGCCTCGGCCTGTTGGTGAATGACAAAAAATCCACGTTAGTTCCGGTACAGAGGATAGAGTTCATCGGAGTGGTGCTACACTCGACCTGCGCAAGGGCGTTCCTGCGGCTGGAGAGATTCAGAGCACTGACAGACCTCATCGCAGATGTCTCCGCGTTTCCCCTGACCATGGCCAGGATTTGCCTATGCATACTAGGTCACATGGTGGCGTGTGCATATGTGGTACACCGTGCCAGGCTCCGGATGCGACTCCTGCAGCAATGGCCTACTCCCAGTCCAGGGACCACCTGGAGAAGGTCATCACCATCCCCGCAACTGTACTTACCTCCCTGCGATGGTGGACTCACCCCAGGAAAGTCCTGGAAGGAGTTCCCTTCGTCAGCATTCCTCACTCAGTCGAGTTGGTTTTGGACGCCTCGGACCTCGGATGGGGGGTGCACCTCAGCACCCTCCAGGCCCAAGGCATGTGATCCCCAGAGGAGTCAACGCGACACATAAATGTCAAAGAGCTCAGGGCAGTGTACAGAGCGTGTACGGTCTTCCTACCTCACCTGTCAAGCAGTTCTCACAGACAACACAGCCTCGATGTTCTACATCAACAGGCAAGGCGGAGCGCGATCCTCAGCCCTTTGCCAAGAGGCACTCTGTCTCTCGGATGTCTGCATCGACCATGGAATCCATCTAGAAGTGTGTCACCTTCCAGGGGGCCAGGAACACACTAGCAGATCACCTAAGTAGGAACTTCTCCACCTGGAGGTAGCCAGCAAGATCTTCCACTAGGCAGAACAGGAGGTGCCACAGGTTTTGCTCCAGACGGGGTCTGGGTAAGGGCTCCCTCTTGGATGCCTTCCTCCTGCCATTGGCAGGAAGCCTGATGTACGCATTCCCTCCGATTCTGCTCATCAGCAAAGTCCTAGCAAAAAATCAAGAGGGACAAGGTGCAGTTATCATGATCGCCCAGGCGTGGCCTTGCCAGCACTGGTTCAAGATGCTATCAAGCTTGTCGGCAATCCCTCCCTGGCCCTTGCTGAACTGACCGGACCTGCTGTCACAGGAGCACGGCCTATTCTTGCACCCCAACCTTGTGTCCCTCCACCTCATGGCGTGGATGTTGCATGGCTGACCCCGGATGAACGGGCCTGTTCGGACGGGGCCCAGAAAGTCCTCCTCGAGAGTAGAAAGCCCTCAACTAGACAGACCTACCTGGCAAAGTGGACAAGGTTCTCCCACTGGGAGGCCGAATGGGGTATCTCTCCTTTGCATTCTTCAGTGCAGTCAATCTCGGACTACCTGATTCATTTAAGGAACCAGGGCCTGGTGCACTCCTCTATCAGGGTGTATCTGGTGGTCATTTCAGCCTTTCATCCGCCAATCCAGGGGCAGACTGTGTTCTCCCATGACATGACAGTCAGATTCCTTAGAGGCCTCGAGAGACTCTTTCCTCAAGTCCGGTCCCCAGCCTCTCAGTGGGATCTCAACTTGATTCTGTCCAGGCTCCTGGGTCCGCCCTTTGAGCCTTTGACCTCATGCTCCCTATCTCACCTATCATGGAAGGGAGCTTTCCTGGTGGCGGTGGCATTGACGAGGCGAGTCTCCAAGCTGCGAGCCCTGACTTCAGAAGCACCATACACGGTCTTCTATAAGGACAAGGTCCAGCTCTGGCCCCACCCAGCTTTTCTTCCCAACATGGTGTCCACTTTCCACATGAGCCAGGACATCTTCCTTCTGGTCTTCTGCCTTAAGTCCCATGAGACCAGTGAAGAGAAGCGCCTTCACGCTTTGGACGTAAGAAGGGCTCTGGCTTTCTATCTAGATTGGACAAAACCTTTCTGTAAATCGACTCAGCTTTTCATCTCAGCTGATAGGATAAAGGGCCTCCCAGTGTCCACGCAAGGATTTCTAACTGGATCACCTCCTGCATTTGGACCTGCTACGAGTTAGTGGTAGTCCCTACACCGCTGATAGTCAGAGCCCACTCAACCAGAGCGCAGGTATCTTTGGTGGCCTTCCTGGCACGCTTCCCGATCCAGGACATCTGTGGAGCCGCAATGTGGTCCTCGGTGCACATGTTCACGGCCCACTATGCAATCACACAGCAGGACAGGGATGATGCTGGGTTCCGCAGAGCTGTATTGCAATCTACATGTCCGTGAACTCCTTACTCGCCTCCGGGGTACTGCTGGGAGTCACCTAAGTTGAATGGACATGAGCAATCACTTGAAGAAGAAAAGACAGTTACCTTTTTCTGTAACTGGTGTTCTTCGAGATGTGTTGCTCATGTCCATTCCACAACCCACCCTCCTTCCCCCACTGTCAGAGTTTCTGGCAAGAAGGAACTGAGGGTGGGGGGAGCCGACGGCGCCCTATATGCCACAGCATATGTGCGCCACTCTCACTAGCGCTGGAGTCGGTTCCCTACGGATACTGTTGAGGGAAAAACTTCCGGTACCAGTGCATGTGGCGAATGCACACATCTTTGAGATGTGTTGCTCATGTCCATTCAACTCAGAACACCAGTTACGGAAAATGGTAACTGTCTTTTGTAGTATAGACAGGCCCCCTTAACTAGGGTTACCAGATAACAACTGTGAAAAAACGGGACAGGGTGGAGGGTAATAGGTGCCTATATAAGAAAAATTCCCAAAAAACTGGACTGTCCCTTTAAAAACGGGACATCTGGTCACCCTACCCTTAATCAAGCTTGTTTGGCCAAACCTCCTTCCTCCCAGCAATCTGGGCAGTGGGCCGTCCCGGAATGCACTGCCCAACCTGCCACTGATGTTGCTCTTCGTTCATGTCCCCTGGGTGCTGTGTCCCCCTCCTGAGGCATTATGGGGACAGCTGCCCACATCGTCCCAGAATGCACCAATATACATGGCTAGGCAGGGTGGAGGCATAAACCCAGTGGTGATGTCAGTAAAACTGAGGGGTTGAGGCCATCTGGCTTGCAGTACTTGTCACTGTCCAGGGTTTGCTAGTTCGACTCCTGCTCAGAGGCTGTCGCACAGGCAGGGCCTCAGCGGGGCGTGTTACATAAAATCAATACTTTCTATTACAGCCTCCTCCCTGGGGGAATATCCAAGATCAGCTGCTTCAGAAGACAAACCCCTCTAGCTCCAGCATTGATGGCATGGCCCCTGGAGCAGAGGTTGCTTGGAAATGGGCACTCTGCTTTGTCTGCAGCTTTCCTGCATTGGCTTAGTAACGTTGCCCGAGTTGTGCTGGATTCTAGGCCAGTGTATTGAAATTACACTGCTGAGTTGTCCCTCATGCAGTGGATTTAGCAATACAGATTGCTGATCAGGCAGCCTCCAGATATCCTGTGAGAAACATGCACTGTAGTGGAACTGAATGCTTTGCAGACCACTCAACCCCACCTTCTCTGCCAGTGAAATTAACCACTTTTCCACTCCAGCTTTCCTGCTGCTATCTCAATGGAGAACCGCACAGGGTTATGCTAGGGTTACCATACGTCCAGATTTTCCCGGACATGTCCGGCTTTTTGGGCCTCAAATCCCCGTCCGGGGGGAAATCCCAAAAAGCCGAACATGTCCGGGGAAAATAGGGACGTGCTGGGCCGGGGGCCGGCGGTGCTGGGCCGGGGGCTGGCCCTGGGGTGCGGGGCCGGGCCGGGGGCTGGCCCTGGGGTGCGGGGCCGGGCCGGGGGCTGGCGGTGCAGGACCAGCGGTGCGGGGCCGGGGGCCGGCACCCCAGGAACCGAGCCAGGCTGGAGACGCTGGGTCCAGCCGCTGGAGGGAGCCGCTTGGTTGCGGGGGCCAGACTGGGCCGCACCTCCTCCTCCCACCCCCAGCTTACCTGCTGCCTGCTTCAGGCTTCCCGCGAATCAAATGTTCGCGGGAAGCAGGGGAGGGGGCGGAGTTGGGGCGGGGGCATGGGTGGGGGTGGGGCTGGGGCCCCGTGGAGTGTCCTCTTTTTGGACACTCAAAATATGGTAACCCTAGGTTATGCCAATTCTGTGGCTGTCCCAAAGATCATAATGTATACCACTTACACCTGAATAAAGGGGGTTTGAATATCAGGCAGAACTAGTTTGCTCTACTGAGCTATATTGTAGCAGTGTAGCCAACTCTTAAAATTTTTTGCAAGCCTTATATTTTACTATTTAAAGTTCCCGCTCCTGCAGTCCAGTGATTATAAAAACTGAGATTCTCCCCTATTCTTAAAATAAGTTTCTAGCCCCCATTCTTGCAGAGATGAGCTTGAAACATGACAAGTACACCTGACAAGCAAATAAAACAGCCCAAATATTTACTTTGGCTTAATCTTTTTTTCTTTTCTTTTAATCTCATGAGTTTGGAACACATAAGCATGGCGATACTGTGCAGTCTCTTTTGTCTATAAATGGAAGGGAATGGCCATAGCTGGATTTAATGCCATTATGCTGCTGTTGCTACATAGCTGTGGAGCTTGGTAAGATATCACTTTAAGCTGTGTTGTTTCCATGGAGAAAGTGAAAGAGCCTTGGAGAGGGGAGGGGTGGTGATACAATAAGATATACATGACAGCGGAAAAGTCAAGGGTTGTGGTATTGTCCCCCCAACTCTTCTGAGGCCTGGTCACTCAAGCCACATCTGGCTGCTTTTTCGTGTCCATATTCCCCTCCTAGTAGGTCGGGCACTGGCCCTAGAACAGGTGTCTTAAACACGCGGCCCGTGGGCTGCATGCGGCCTGCGGGGTGATTTTCTGCGGCCCGCAAGCCCCTCGCAGCCTCCCTGTCCTCCCCCAGTTTTTACCAGAGCGGCATCCAGACATGCATCAGGAGCAGGGCAGGCTCCCTGCCTGCCCTGGCCTGCCCAGCTCCAGGAAGAGGCTGGAATGTGGGGAAGGGACTGCGGAGGGGCTGTGTGTGGCTGTTACTTCAGGCAGCACCCCCAGCAGCTCCCATTGGCTGGGAACGGGGATCCGCGGCCAATGGGAGCTGTTGGAGGCAGTGCCTCAAGCAACAGAAACACACAGCCCCTCCGCTCCCCCCTTCCCCATGTTTCAGCCTCTTTCGGGGACAGCGCAGACAGGCAGGCAGGGAGCCTGTCCTGCCCCTGGTACGTGCCGGGCCAGATCCTGCCCCCCAAACCCTTCCTGCAGCCAAACCCACTGCCCTGAGCCCCATGCCACACCCCTCCTGCACCCCGACCCCCTGCCGTACCCTGCACCCCTCCTGCACCCTGACCCCTGCCTCACCCCGCACCCCTCCTGCATCCCAACCCACTGCCCTGAGCCCCATGCTGCACCCCTCCTGAGCCCTGACCCCGCCGTACCCTGCACCCCGCCCTGAACCCCCTGCCTCACCCCGCACTCCTCCTGCATTCTGCCCCCCTGCCCTGAGCCCCCTGCCGCACCCTGCACCCCGACCCCCTGCCTCAACCCGCATGCCTCCTGCACCCTGACCCCCTGCCGCACCCCACACTCCTCTTGCACCCCAACCCAGTGCCCTGAGCCCCCTGCTGCACCCTGACCCCTTGCTGTACCCCTCACCTCTCCTGCACCCCATACCCCAACTCCCTGCCCTGAGCCCCCACCACACCCCTCCTGCATCCCCTGGGGGCAGGGAGGGGGCAGAGTTGGGGTGGAGATTTTGGGGAAGGGGTTGGAATAGGGGCAGGGAAGGGGTGGGAAGAGGCGGGGCAGGGGTGGAGCCTCATGGAAGGGGTGGAGTAGGGGCAGGAGGGGGAGGTGTCATCAATGCGGCCCTCGGGCCAATGTACTAGTCCTCAGGTGGCCCTCATGATCATTTGAGTTTGACAACCCTGCCCTAGAACATGAGACCTGGGTTCAATTCCTGGCCAATCCCCTGAGTCCCTGCCTGCCTGTAGATAAATCCCTTAACCTAAGTAGGGCTTCAGTTCACCTCTGTAAAATGGGGACAAATACTTCTCTAGCTCCTATGGGCACTTTGAGGCTAACATCCACTATTGAGTGAAGGTCTCAGACACCACAGTGAGGAGGGCTATAACATCATCATTCTCCTGGTGAGTTTGCTGGAGACTGGGGCCTTCTCAAAATGAACATAGCTCTTGCTTTGCAAACCCCACAGTAGAACGACAGCAAGATCACCCACATGATCCGTCTCCTGCTGTACAGCATTTATTGTTCTCGCTGCCGCGTCCTGGGCTTTTTGAGGGAGGGGAATAGCCAATAAAGATTTGTTGTGTATGAAATCTATAGGCTCCGCATAAATGCTAGGTTTTATTATCTAGCTCCCATGCAGCTGAATCTGAGCAGCCTACAGTGGTTTCTCCCTAGAGGAGACAGGAAGCCAGAAGGATTATTTCCAGCTGTTTTACCTAACTCCCTCCCACAATGCATGGTTGCCAATGACACTGCACCCCCTCCCCCACACACTGCTGCTCTGCACAGCAGTGAGCACTGGCTATTTTTGGGGTGCCCAGGAACATGTGGGAGCAGTTAGCTGAGTATTAGATGGGCTCCTGTCTGGAAGGAGCATAGGCTGCTGCAGTGGTTTCTCTGCACCATGTACGGGCACAGCAAGGATGGGGCTGGCTTGCGAGTGACCCCCCCCCTCCCCCCCATGAATCACTGCTGTTAGTTTGGAGCAGTTGTGCCCAGAGGGGAGGCACTGCCCCACTCTGCAGCTACTGACTGGTGGGCCTCACAAGCTGGAGTGGGCACAGCACTGGGGGAAAGAAGGGGCAAACATCCCCTCCCCCATCCTGTTGATGCCCTCCCAAATGCACCCGTAGGGCCCATGCATTTCTCCCCCTCCCCCTAACACTTCTCTTCTGTGGCTCCGGAGGCACGTTCCCCGCCCCCTGCAGTGCAGTATTGGCACTGACGGCACGTGGGCAACATCAGAAGGTTCCCGGCGTGCAATGCTCCGCCTCGCCGCACTGCACGCTGGGACCTGTAGTCTCGCCTCTGCCTCCGTGGAATAGGGGCGGTGGCCAGCTCCTTTGTGCGCAGCTGCTCAGGCAATGGGCGCGGCTTGTGGTAGGCGGCTGGGGCAGCTCACAGGGTGAAGAACCCCGTTCCCTGGCCCCGCTGCAGCCAGCCACCGCCTTGGAGCCAGGCCCTGGGGCAAGGGGGAGCAAAGGGCCACAGCCACCCGGCATCGAGCTCTGCGTAGGGCAAAGCGCGCCAAGGTAGCGGAGAGCAGGGGCGAGTTGCTAACACTGCTGCGTCGTTGGCCGCTTTGCTGCTCCGCGAGACGTGCCTGGCCCCGGCGGGTTACTGACAGATCGCCCCTATATCGAGCTCACACTGGGCTGCAGTTTCCTGTACTCTCCCCTCACTGACTGCTGCTCTCGCAGTGCCCAGCCCAGCAGGGTCGCGGGTGGTCCTCACCCTGTGAGCTCCGGTCTTAATGTGTAATGGAAGAGGGACCAGGCTCAAGCAATATTTTTACATCCATAACAGATGCGCCAAGCCAGAAGCCGGAGCTCGGCCTTGGCACAAATCAAACACTGGTTGGGTAGCCAGCTCTAGCCTTTTGGGGCGCCTCGGGAGCTGTTGGTGGCCACCCAAGTGTGGGGGACGCAGGGAGCTCGGGGGGGGGGTCCCGGGGGACGGGCTGGGTCCTGCCCCTCTTTGGACTCGACTGCGAAGGGGTCTCCCCGGGGAGCCTCCAGCAGCAGCAGGGGGATGCGGCCGGAGTGCCCCACGACAGTTCCCAGCACGCCGTGCGGCTGAGGGGGGCTGCGCACGCGCGGCCGCTGGAAGCTTCCAGGCGGCCGGCGCGAGGCATTGTGGGCAGGAGACGGTGAGCTTCCTGGGCGCCATTTTACGGAGCGGCAGAGAAGCATCGGCGGAGCTTGGGAGTCGGTAAGAGAGTGGCCCGGCCCTGAGAGTCCCCTTCATCCCCCATCACTGCCTGAGTAGAGGATCCCTTGGCCAGCGCTGGCCTTGACCCGCGCGTTTCCCGAAGCTCCCGTGCTCCGACCCCAGTCCCGCGCGCTAGTCTGTAGCGCCCCCCGGGTTCCGTGGGTCCCCCCGTCTCGCGCGCCGCTCCTGAGCGCGCTCCTCAACCGCGCTCCTCAACCGCGCGCGCCCTCCATACGCGCCCCCGTGCGCGCAGTCTGACGCTTGCTCTTCTTTGTCCTTCAGGATCGTCTGTGTGCCGGACTGGGAGTCAAGCTGCCCGTGGGACCATGGGCTCCGATAAACGGTGGGTTGCGTCCGCGCCCCACACACAGGAGAGCGATCGTCTGGCCGTGCCCGATGAGCTCTCCCTCTTCGCCCTGGATGTGGGGCCGCGGATGGCAGGAACTGTGTGCTGCCGAGCAGCCGCCCAGGCCACTGGCATCTCCCCGAGCCGGGCACATTCCCGCGAGCACACGGATGGCTGAGCGAGATCCAAATCCGCTAGTTTATGGCTCTGTTCAGGGCTTAAGCAGGACTTATTCTCACGCCAATACGTAGATAAATGCACTTATAGGGCAGTGTTCCTCAGCCCCCAGGGGGGTCACGAGAGGGGGCAGGTCACAAGCCAGTGAGAATTTTATTACAATCTAAAGCAAAGAAAATCACTCCCTCGAAAGGAGAGAAGCCTGTTAACAGAAATATCTGTTAAATTGGTACTAGTTTGGCATTGGCTTCTTCTGTATGGGTTATTAGGAAGGAAATCTCTAGTGGTGTTTAAAAAAAACCCAACTATCTACTGGTGCTGGAGAAGGTGACACTATAGTAACCTTTATTTATATGTGGTAGGGGTCCTAGAGGAGCACATTATGGGGCAGGATTAGTGGTGAAAACAGCTCAATAACTGGATCCAGTAGTCTTAAGGAGCCATCAGGGTGTCTTAAGTTTTCAAATCAATAAACCCTTTTGAGAATACTCTTAGTAGCAAGCAGCAGCATGCTTTGATTAATTAGGAATTGGAAAAAGAAAACACCTTCCACTTAGTACAATAGTTTAGCCACTGTTGCTTAAAATGACAGGTGATGTGGACCCGCCACATTCCCTGTACATGTGGGTTGGAGGAAAACAGCTCTGGAGAAGCAATCAGTGCCACCATAATAATTCACTGGCGGTGAACTTCCTTGTCTCTGTGAAGGGAGTAATAAAAATAGTATCAGCTCTTAGTCTCCAGTTGATGTGACTGGTTTATATCCAATTATCACTTTTTAATTTGATAAATTTGTTTTCTACTAAAAACCTTAACTTGAATGTATTTTTGGATTAGAAAAATAGCAAAACAGAGTTTATCATAGTTGTATGGAAGAGACCTGTTAGGTTGCCTAATGACTCAACAAGGACATGTGCAGAGTCCTGCACTTAGGACGGAAGAATCCCATGCACTGCTACAGACTAGGGACTGAATGTCTAGGAAGCAGTTCTGCAGAAAAGGACCTAGGGGTTACAGTGGATGAGAAGCTGGATATGAGTGAACAGCGTGCCCTTGTTGCCAAGAAGGCTAACAGCATTTTGGGCTGTATAAGTAGGGGCATTGCCAGCAGATCGAGAGACGTGATCATTCCCCTCTATTCGACATTGGTGAGGCCTCATCTGGAGTACTGTGTCCAGTTTTGGGCCCCACACTACAAAAAGGATGTGGAAAAATTGGAAAGAGCCCAACGGAGGGCAACAAAAATGATTAGGGGGCTGGAGCACATGACTTATGAGGAGAGGCTGAGGGAACTGGGATTGTTTAGTCTGCAGAAGCGAAGAAGGAGGGGGGATTTGATAGCTTCTTTCAACTACCTGAAAGGGGGTTCTAAAGAGGATGGATCTAGACTGTTCTCGGTGGTAGCTGATGACAGAACAAGGAGTAATGGTCTCAAGTTGCAGTGGGGGAAGTTTAGGTTGGATATTAGGAAAAACTTTTTCACTAGGAGGGTGGTGAAGCACTGGAATGGGTTACCTAGGGAGGTGGTGGAATCTCCTTCCTTAGAGGTTTTTAAGGCCCGGCTTGACAAAGCCCTGGCTGGGATGATTTAGTTGGGAATTGGTCCTGCTTTGAGCAAGGGGTTGGACTAGATGACCTCCTGAGGTCCCTTCCAAGTCTGATATTCTATGATTCTATCTCTGTCAATGCATTTCTCATCTGTATATTTTGTTACACACGTTCTTCAATTTACACACTAGTGCACTTCCACATAATGTGTATGCTAGTGTATTCTCCAGACCTATTTGACTATTGTGTTATTGAATGACATGATGCTACAAAATGGAGGAGAGGGTGGTAGTCCATTCGTTTTTTGCAGTGTTGTAGCTTATTTAGCTAATTTTGAACTGAAAATGCTAGAATTTCCTGAGCTGACACAGATGCTGTGGTATTGAAAGTAAACTGAACCATGGCATTTCCCTGAATTACTTCTTTTCCCTGAGAGAGAATTCTCAAACTGAACAAACCTCCCTTTTACAGTGTGAGTAGGACTGAACGAAGTGGAAGGTATGGCTCTATCATAGATCGGGAGGATCGGGAGGATCGGGACTTTAGAAGCAGGCGAAGGGATTCTGATTACAAGAGATCGAGTGAGGAGCGCAGGAGCGAGAGATATGATGACAGTCGGGACTATGACAGTCGGGACTATGACAGTCGGGACTATGACAGCCCTGAGGTAAGTGGAAAACATTTGCATTCGCTCAGGCTGTGAGTGAATTTTGTATTAGCGTTCTGATAACATAGTCATCAGCATAGTATAGATCGGGGGTTCTCAAACTGGGGGTCGGGTTCACAAGGTTATTACATGGGGGGTCGCGAGCTGTCAGCCTCCATCCCAAGCCCCGCTTTGCATCCAGCATTTATAATGGTGTTAACTATATCAAAAGTGTTTTTAATGTATAAGGGGGTCACACTCAGAGGCTTGCTATTTGAAAGGGATCTCAGACTTTTGTACTGGTGAACTTCTGGTATCGATCTTGACACTTGTCTGTAGTAATCCAATTTCTTAAAAATTTGTAACCCTAAATATATTAACACATTCTTTATTCTTGGTTTCCTGGCAGAACTGATACCTTCACTTTTATGGAGAAGGTATTCTGAGGTGATAGAATCCAAATCTGGTTTTAAACAACCACTTCAGAGCATCCCTAAGGTTTCCAGTACAGTTTTTATTAGTAGTGTAAGACCCACTCTCCTCAGGAATGGAACTTCACTGGTTACTTAAGATGCATCTCTTACTATTTCTTTGGAATTACTGTCTGGTTGCAAATTAAAGCTCCAGATCTGCTGGAGGTTGTTCCGGTCTTGTTAAGATTTCTTTTTCCATATTGAGTGATAAGCTGTCTCCATTAGCAGTGTGCGTGTTTGCTAATCTGGGTATTCACTCACCAGAGGGATAGGGAGAGGGAGCGTGAGAGACGGAATAGCGATAAATCAGAAGATGGGTACCATTCTGATGGTGACTATGGAGAGCATGACTACAGGAATGACATTAATGATGAGAAAGAAAGCAAGACCATCATGTTGCGTGGCCTTCCTATCACTGTTACAGAAAACGATGTAAGTATACAAAGAAAATGGCTTTGCTTACCCTACCAAGAGTTCCAAATTGGTTTGGTTTACTTATGTCTAAGGCTAAGATTTTGTCATGGTTATTTTTAGTAAGTCACAGGCAATAAACAAAAATTCACGGAAGCTGTGATCTGTCTGTGACTTCTGCTGTTGTGGCTCCATTGTTTCTTCTGCCACACTGGTGGCTGGGATCTGTGGGGTTCCCCCTCCGCCCACAGTAGCTGGGAGCTGCAGGGTAACCATATTTCCCAAAGAGAAAAAGGGACACCCCCAGCCGCTCACCTGAGATGCCCCCTCTTCCCCTGCGCAAGGCTGTCACCCTTTGCTGGAGCCCTGAGGACCCCTCAGGAGTCTGTCACCTGTCAATGGAATCTTGCAGGCCCCCCACCCCTACCCCCGCTGGCTACCTGCTCCAGACTCCAGCAGCCCCTAGTGCTGAAGCAGAGAATGTCAAGGAGGTCAAGTGACTTCCATGACATAAACTTAGCCTTATTTACGCCATATTAAAGATACAATTTATCACTGCCTCTTTCCTGAAGGTTGCAAAGATAATCCTATCTCGAAGGGCTGGTTAATATTTCCATTATTAACCTTGGATTTTTGAAGGGGTTTAAACTGTAGCTGTTTTATATTAAATAAGTGGGTCAGCTAACGCCATATGTGCCTCTTTAAAATAGAACAATCTAAAAATAAGCCTTTCGCATGTGGTTAGTAGCCATCCCTGGCTAAGGCACAGAAAAGATGCTATTAAGTAACTACTTCCAGTGCTAATTCTGCTTATTTTTCTTTATTTACTTTTCCATAAATGTAACTAACATAGATTTTTCCAGGGACAAATATGGATTTATTTTCCTGTTTTGATGGAGGCCAAAGATAATGTAATTGGCTGTTTTACACCAATTTACTTAGCTTTTCAGCCTGTTAAAACATCTCTGCACCAGCCTAATCTGTCAGCACAGCTGTTGGAGTGGTAAAATGGCTGCCATAATGCTGACAGAGTACAAGTGGGATCGGTAGCTATATTTCTTGATAACTCTTGAGCCTTTGCAGTGTTCATGCAAATTCCAATAATTTTCAGAAGTAGTTTTCAGTGTTCTTTTATCTCTTCTGTTTCTGCCAGATTGGCCGGGTAACCAAAATAATCTAATCCTAATGCCTGTTAAAATAATACCAAACCCACAAAAGCAGAGCTGTAAAAAGCAACAGAGGGTCCTGTGGCACCTTTAAGACTAACAGAAGTATTGGGAGCATAAGCTTTCGTGGGTAAGAACCTCACTTCTTCAGATGCAAGTCTCCCAATACTTCTGTTAGTCTTAAAGGTGCCACAGGACCCTCTGTTGCTTTTTACAGATTCAGACTAACACGGCTACCCCTCTGATACTTAAAAGCAGAGCTGTTCATATTTGATTTTTAACCAGACTACATCTGTAATTCTGAAGTGTCTGTTCTAATAATGTCTCTCTGAATTATTAAAACCAATATTTTTTTTTGGCCACTTTTACAATTTAAATTTTTGCATTTCACTTAGCTAAGAAAGTAGTGACTAGCCAGCCCAGTTTATTTTCGGATTTTCATTCACTAGTTTGATGCTGCAGTGGTTGTTTCATACAAAGCATAAATATACTCAAATCCAGACTCAACAATTAATTTTATAAAATTTCAGTATATGTTTTTATTTGTTTTTTATTGAAATCCTGAGTATCAGGCATAAATCATGTGTAAAATTGCTACTTGTTCTGAGGCATTTAAATGGATTTAGCTGAGCTGTATTACTTGAACAGTTTTTAAATATTGATTTGCCTGCTAACTGCTAAAATGACTGTAGTGTAGTTTCTTTGAATAATGTTGTCATTTAGGATCAGAATTTGAACAAATCTTTAATGTGTAAGTAGGGTTTTTAATTATGTACCAGTTAGTCATATTTTGTTTTGAGTTTGCACTTTCCAAAATGCAACAACTACTGCTATACAAATTTGCTGCCTTTCCTTTGTGGTTAGGGAAGACAGTTGCAATGGCTATCTTTGTTTGTTTAATTTTTCTTTGGCATGTTGTATGTAAAAGTCCGCTCCAAAAGACGCCACTGTCAACAGTAGTTAACCATAGGTCAGTTTGACTTGCAAAGCTACAGGATGGCCATGTACTGTCTTGGTGCTTTGTTGATCAAATCTGCCTTTGGGTTTCCCTGTACTGACGGGTCTTTTTGAGCTGTTGCGTATCTTCATTTTGTGCCATGTCGGGATTTCTTTTATCTGCTTTTAATCAGTTTTCTAACATTTCTGCCAATAGTGACCTTTTTCTTCACTCTTCTGGGGAACTTCTTACTAATCTGATGCTTTTCCCTTTCTTTATCTTTCTTGTTGGGCACCTCTGGAGCTTTAAGCAGGTTCAGTACAGTTGAGGAAATGGTGCCTTATTAACCTGTTAGCCTTGTTCATTGAAGTTAGTATTCTGCACAGATCCCTTCTTCCCCTTGAGAGAATGTGGAGAGAGTAGGTCAAAAAGGGGGGGGGAGGGGGGCTGCAAGGCAAGATCAGTGTTTATATAAATACCCTTCAGTCTTCTTGGTTTGAGAGGAAGGGAGATGGGTCTAGCGATTTTGCAGACAAGAGTACTGTAGGTTATATCTTGGATTGCAAACTCCTGGAGGCAGAGACAGGCATCTTGCTTGTACAGCACCTGGCACCATGGAGTCCTAGTCCATGACTGGAGCGCCTAGGCACTACTTAAATACAAATAAGGGGAGCACTGGTTGGGTGTAGTAAGTATTACTTACTGCTCTTAAATTACTTCCTACACAGGGAGGTGGTACTTTTCTCTCAATTCAGTGTAAAGTAAATTCACAAATGTGATTTTACACAATGATTCTCATTCAGAGAAAATATTTGGGGTAGAAGGCTGCAAATTAGTTTGCAGTGATAAAAAGGATATTTGTCAAGATTTGAATCTTTAACTGTCTGTTATGACTAAACTCCATACAGATTCGAGAGCTTATTGAGTCCTTCGAAGGCCCTCAGCCTGCAGACGTGAGGCTGATGAAAAGAAAGACAGGTGAGTGCTCTAATCTGGCTGTCGGTGCCATTTTCCTCTCCCCTCACCCCCAGACACACAAGAACATCCAGAATTACCCCAAATCTGCAAGCACACAAAATAAAAATATAAGGTTTGCCATGGCTAAGGAATGTGGCCTTTTGATAGCTTTTAGATAGCTGAAGAACACTGTAAAAGAAGTCTGTCTTCAGGGGGTTTTGTTAAAAGGTATGGGTAAGTAACACTAGCATAAACCCATTTGACAGTTATGTAGTCTGTTGCATGGTTACCTTTAAACGTGGATTCAAATCGAGCAAAATGTAGCCAGTTAAGGCAGCTTGGTTCCTTGCCATGGCAAAATAAGCAGATCCCAGCAGTTGACGTCGCATTTGTAAAGCTGCTTTATCATGACGTAATGAAGCAGTTGGAGAGAGATTCACCTGTTTTAAAGGAACTGACTAACACAAGTATCCCGTCTATATCTGAATGCTGTCTCTAGGTGTAAGCCGTGGTTTCGCCTTCGTGGAGTTTTATCACTTTCAAGATGCTACCAGCTGGATGGAAGCCAATCAGGTTGCTTCCCCCACCAAGTCTAGATATTCCTGAAAATGGAACAAGTCTGTACAGTTTAAAAAAAAAAAAAAAAGACTAAACAAAAGGTGGAAGGATGGTTTGTTCCAAAACAGTGATTTAAAAGAATAAAGGCTTTGTATATATTAAAATTTGTTACAGTGGAACAAGGATAGTATTAGGAGAAAAATAATTGGCTATGCTGAACCACCCCCTGTTAGACAAATAGGCATAAACCACTGCTTTAATTGTGTGCTGGTGTTTTAATTATATAGTACAGGTCTAATTGGCTCTTAAAACTCTTACCCAGACCAGTCTTCTGAAACATCTTTCTTTATTTCCACCTGACATTTCCCATATCACTGTTGCCATACAAAGTACCAGACCTTTCAAAAGGAGTGCAGTAGTAACGTTGAATATCTGCATCACTGGTACTAGCCATGAAAGCATTGACATTTGATTGTAAACTGACAGACCCTAGCTCCCTCTCTAGTGAGGGAACTCCTTATTGGAGTCCATTCAAATCATGAGACCTGCTAAAGGCATCTAGAAGCTCAGTTCTCTCAAAGTGACATTGTGTGTTTCTGACCTCTTTCCTGAGAATAATAGGAGCTGAAAACCAGAATAGATCCTCTGTTAAAAGTTCATTCCATTTTACAGTGAGGTTTTCCTATTACACTACCCATGAATGGAAATATTTAGTTCTGCTCCATTTTGATATTGGTTATCAGTCCTTGCAGCAAAATTCATCAAATTGATCTCCTCACATTGAGTCACAATATAATGAGAGCTCTGTTTGTGTGGTTAGAAAACCATTAAAGTTAAAAGGAGGCACACTTAATGTTATAGTCCTTTATTTTTAACACTTAAGAAAATTAAATTCATGTTGGATTTTGAGACTTCTTGTGTCAGTAATCAGAAATTGCAACATGCAGCCTCCTAGAGTGTCATGCATTTCATACCACAGCCCTCTTCCATAGCAACAAAACGTTCAAGTCCTAGTTTCCTGACATAATGTCCCTTGTTTGCAACATATGCACCAGAACTACTGGTGGCAAGAAATTAACATTAGCCAAAAAAAAAATTAAAAAATCATCCCAGTTTTAATGTATACAAAGCTGTGTTAATGTATAATTTATTGAGACGGATACAATCCAAATTCACTCCGAAAGAACCAGAGCCACCCTAGCAGTAGGGAAAAAAGTAGTTGAGACTCCCCAGTGGCCCTGCTGCTGACTGTTAGATGAAGAGATGATGTATTGTAAACATGCCAGCATCTTTGTTTCATATATGTGCATATCCAGCAAGTACTGGGCCCTCCAATCCTCCCTTCTGCCCATAGGGCAAGATTAGCTTTCTCCTGTCTAGCAGTATAGAACTTGAGAGCCCTGTTCATGTGCTACACCCTAGATCTGTCAGATTGTGTTATCAAAAAGACTGGTTCTGATGTTTCTTTAGTGCCTCTATAATAAAGCTTAACCCTCATTTAAAAAAAAAAAATTCTTCAGTTGAATAAAATGTCTGGGGTTTGGCCCATGCTACCTCAACACATGTTCCCTGCCATACTTAGAGGCAGCTGAATTAACTGTTAAGTTGTAAGCCTGTAAATGGCCATACTTTGAAAGGGCACTTTGTGTACATAGGGTTCAGGAATGATTGAAGCTCAGAACCTTGGCTGCTGAAATAAATTAAAACTCCCAGCCCCTTTGTAATGTCACACTCTTGACTAAGAGGACACTGATGAAAGCAGTATGATCTCTTCTTACTCCTTGGAGAACTTTACTTGCAGTCTAGTTACTCATTTTGAAGAGAGTTCCTGGCTGTTTAAATGAAGAACACAAACCTCTTACACAGGCTTTCACATGAACTGGTGCATTAGTCAAAGGCATCCGTTTTGAGCTATGTTTCAGTTGATGGCATTTATAATCCAACTTCTAAGAAGTCTAAGCAGGGTACCTTTGGGAGAAATTACTGTATTTTCAAAGGGACACATCCTGAAGAGAGCACTTGAGGGGGGAAAAAATTCAAAATGCTATTATTTAAAGCTGTAGGTGTTTGGAGTAGGGTCAGAAGTGAAGCAGTAAAGACACGGTTAGAAAGCTGCTCAGTGATACACCAGAAGTAGAAATACTTGGGTGCAAGAAACTCCTATAATCTGGCGATACTGAATGCAGCAGGTTTAGGACTCTGTCTCCTTTGAGACACTTCCTTGTTCCATGTCAGCGTTTAGTATTTGGCAGCTTGGTCAACACTCCCTGATTCCGTTTACCTTTATTCCACATCCCATTCTCTTACTGCCCACGTCCTCCTCCCTGCAGGATTGGATGGGCAGAGCATTGGTGGCGGTGGTTGGTCCTCCACATCCTCCCCATATGTTGTCCATTTAATTCAGGAGCACTGATTCCTCCGAAGTGTGCTCTGGCATGGGAAAATGGACACGTGTGCCTTGATACGGGAATAACTTAAACCTGCTTTTCTTGCAGAAAAAACTGGTGATTCAGGGGAAGCAGATTGCAATGCACTACAGCAACCCAAGGCCTAAATTTGAAGACTGGCTTTGTAACAAGGTAAGATGCATGGTTTCTGCAAAGAGTTCTAATCAACATTGGGGTTCTGTTCTGTTTACCACTCTTAATGATATGGGAAAAGAGGTATGTTAACCTTGCAGATGTTGCCAATTCCTGAGAGATCAGATGATACTAAGGAACAAAATAAGATTAAAATGTGCCATCTCTGGGGCCAAATAAAACAAAACATAGATCAAATGAAAGGGAGATGCTCAGTCGAGAGACCTGAAGTGACATGGACACCAATTCATAGATTGTGGCCAGAAGGTAGCGTCACCAATAAGGCCAT